ATTATTATTATTATTATTATTATTATTATTATTATTATTATTATTATTATTATTATTATTATTATTATTATTATTTAAAGTAAAAAATATTTTAATAATTACCCAATTAAATTTAAGATATGGGCACAACATGGAATATGTATTAACTGTGGCATAAGTGGATGTAATTTATCATGATAGCATTTTTTCATATATGCTGCAGAATCAGTTAAAAAAAGACGAGGTAATGTGATTGGAATACCATAATTTGCAAGAATACTAATAACAGTTTGACCAATTGTCAAATTATTGACAGTTGTAAGAAAGTTTACTGAAACTAATTTGGTATTTTCACGGTATGAAAAAAGTGTATTAACTACACTTCATTGACAATCATCAGTTGTTTCATCTATAATAATTGAAACAGGCTTTTGAAAAAATAAAGTTTTAATAGATTCTAAGTGTTCAGAAAAAATACAAGGTAAATATAATTGACGCAATGTTGTTGCTTGAGGAATTGTACCACCCTCTTTACAATGTTTTTTGAAAAATGGAAGTAATGAATTAACTTTTTCTAGCGGAATATCTGCTACTATAAAAGCCTCAACTAAGTCATGTATAATTTCTTTTTTAATTCAGCAGCAGAAAAGTTAATTGTTTGCTAACGATTTTTTTGTTTATTCTCATAAAAGGCTTTTTTAGAAATATGTGCTTTACTTTTGAGATGATCATCGACAGTTGATTTTTGTTTCCAATCTATCGAATGGTCACAGAAATTACAAAATAGAACCCCATCCTCAACCTGAAATTCACCTGGGTTTTCCTTAACTCTTGTATAAACTGTGACAGAAGATTTAGACTGTTTCATTACAAAAAAAAAAGGGAATAAAAAAAAAATAAAACTATCAACAAAAGTTTTTTAAATAAAAAAATTACTGCTTATAACAAGCAATTTATATTCTTTACAACTCCAATTCTTATAATTTTGTTAGAGTCCACTAATTATCGCCGTATTTCTTTGTTACCATGTTTAGAAAATAGTTTGGGTAAGTACTTTCTCATAGTAAAATAGCAAGAATAGAAAAAAACATTTAACATACCCCAATTTCTTGAATGCCTTTCGCTTATCTTTAATCAATTCCATTTTAATAACAATGGCCAGTATAAAAGCTATACCATGTTTAGAAAATGTTCTGAGTAAGTACTTCCCATAGTAAAATAGTAAGAACAAAAAAAATTTAACTTACCCTAATCTTTTTATGAATGCCTTTCACTTTAACACAATTCCATTTCGATAACAATGGCCAACTTAATTGATTTATATTGATGCTTATTTTTTTTAGCATCAACTCCATTTCGATAACAATAACAACTTGATTTATTCCAGCATTATTTTCTCACAACAATATTTAATTTGATTTATTCGCCATTATTTTTTTTTATCATTATCGGCGTTATTATTACATTTATAAAAAAAAAATTCTTATTGTCTACTATGACTAGAGATAGGAAAAATGCGCATTTATAATAATATACGCATGAATGCGCATTAATGCGCATGTTATATAAAATGCGCATGATATAATGGTTGAATTTTATTTTTCCCCTTCTGAAAATATTGAATATTGGCTCAAATTTTTGCCTGACACTTCTCGTCTTTTATGTTCATTCATTTTCTTTTCAGGATTTTTTGGACCAGTTGCGTTCCTATTTCTTAATTCCGCCTGGAATTATGCAATCTGGCCTAAATTATATATACTTTAATTTTCACATGCACATGAATCATGCGCGCGCATGAAGCCCATGACAACCATGCATTTCGTGAGAATTCTGCGTTATCTGTAACACATTCCGTATTTACAACTCGATTCCGTGATTTCTGCGGCATTCCGTGAAATGCAGAAAATCATCGGCCCTGGTTCAGTGATCTTTAAGTGTCCCGGTTTCATAGCACTAGCTGGTATAAAGATGTTAAAAAACTCGAAGACATCGTTAATCGTGATCGGCAAAAGAGATGCATTTGCCAAGATAATAGAATTTTCCTTCTCGAGATATGGTATGATCGAAACCCAGAAATTGTTATTCCCAAAAGAATACAAAAAATTAAGAATTTCATTGATCAAGCATCCAGAATTTTCGACTTATAGTCAATTCATAATGTATAACTTAATATCTAACCGCAGACCAATGTTTAATATGTATATTTTATAACGCATATGCATTTTTTTATTCGTACTGTGAACTTTGAAGGCATAAAAGTAAATCATCACATTTTTATAATGCTATCAGAATTTAATATGTAAAATATATAGAAATAAAACAGATATGTCAATATCTATAAAATTTAGATGCAAAACATTCTTATTCCATAAGACTGATATAGAAATTTATATTGCCAATGTCGCCACCACGTTAATATACCGTATAGAAAAAAAACTTAAATTGTTTCAATCTTGTTCTTTAGATTCTGTTAGACATAAAAATGTGCAATCAGTTAAACTGTTGTATATCATACTGAGCATTCAATATATGTTTGAAATATTTACCATATTAAAGCAGATATTCATTAAAGAAATTTTCATCGTTTAAGGTAACTAAAGATCGCCAAATATTTATAAATGCCTCGTTTTTATCTACCGCAAGTCGCACAATTTGATTTAAATGTTCTTTATTTTCCGGCTCAAGTTTATTTACTATGTTTAGAGTGAAATCAATTAACTCTCCGAGTTCTTTATTGGTCATGTGCCTCTTTCTCTCTTGGATTTCATCCTCATTGTTTTCATGTCGTCTCTTCATTGGTAAAACATATTGTTCCGTAAGTTCAGAACTCAGATTCCGTTTTATCACCAACAAAGACTCAAATGCATCCTCGTCACCTATTATATTTCAATAGATAACACAAAATTTAAAATACTGTATAAATGATATTTATTATAAAACTTACCAAGACAATCGACCAACTCTAATGCTAAGGTTGAGAGCCTTTGCAATTTTTCATCATTCCATTTTCCTTCGGATTTTGTTATACCGTGCGCATGGTAGTTCCTCGCCTCATTTTTAAAAGATTGAAGAACATCTAACGGTTTTAATTTATATTCGCCATAAAACAGCGTTTGGTCGGAATGCTGAATCATAACCAAGGAAATATGTTTCGTAATGAAGTTTAAAAGACACAATATGTCTGCATCCGAAAAATCAATATTTCGCGGGGGTTGCATTTAAGTGTGAATTCTTTTACTGTGTCAGAAGGAATGTAGTCCTGATTCTTTACAACAAATCTAAAAAGCGCTTTCTCGACATGCTCTAAAATTGGCTCCACATAAGAACCTTGTTTGAATGCCGAGAATGAAAACTTATGCGGAATTCGTGATGATAAGTCATCCTCCTTCTCTTCTTTTACTTTCTGCCTATTTAGTGGATTTATTTCCTGAGCTTCTTTAATGTCTGTAGAAACTTCATGTTCACTCATGATTTTGATTGACTTTTGCGTTTGTGCAGAACCTGTTCCATAGGAGATATTGTACTGAACAATACGAGCTTTTTTGAACATAGGTCGGTGTTTTTTTTTTAACAATCTTTAAAGCTTTCTCCTCCTCTTTCTCAGAACTATAAACGTTAACCCACGCATTTAGAGATTCGTATTCTTCACGTACAGATTTGTCATTTTTCATCAAAGCTTGTAATGAAGATATCAAGGCCTGTCTTTTATTTTTTTGGTTTTTTATGGGAGGTTCTAACTTAAGCAGATGTTCGATAGTTGCTTCAAATGTTTTCTTAACGTTATCTTTGAGATTTCTTCTGAGCCACTTTGTTAGTTTCATTGTAAAAAATATTGCGCGTAACGTCGATGGTCAAACGCGATAATTCTTGGCGCGTGATTTTATACAAGATCTCAGGTGACTATTAGAAGAAATCTGATTGGTGCATCTAATCACACATAAGAAAGCTATTTACCCCTTAAACGGTTAGATCATCATCTCAAATTGTTTTACCGTTAATATCATTTTTGGGCTCTTTAGTACTTTGGCATAATATAATTTTTCCCTTCCGCGAAGCCGAGAAACATTCTTCGTGTTTTGGTAGGTGGGTAAAACTGATTAATGCCTCTGGCATTTAGTCGGTGTTGAGAAGCCGAGAAACATTTCTATGTTTCGGTAGGTGGATCGGGGCGGTTGCCAGAAACCGAAAAAATATGCGTAACGCATGTTTCGTAGGTGGTGAAGTCGAAAAAACATGTGCAAAACATGTTTCGTAGATGGATTACTGGTGGAAACCGAAAAAATATGCTCTGCATATTTCGTAGGTGGAAAAAGACGAAATCGAAGCCGAAAAAAACGCTGTTTTCGTAGGTGAAGATAGTAGTGGGAACTTGTATTAACCAAATGTACTATTTTTTGACCTGACAAATACACATTCATGAGATAAGTTTCTTTTTTTTTTCTTTTTTTTTTTTGGAATCCGGGTAGTGATTAGGATATCTTTAACTTTTCTTTTTTTTTGTTTTTTTTTTAAACTAATTCTAATTTTCTTTTGTAGGCTTGTTTTGCTAGAAACCGGGTAGTAGAAATTAAGACTGGGGCTTTTCTTTTCTTTGTTTTCTTGTGAGATAAGTTGGGGTTTACTTTTTTTTCTTTTTTTGTTTCTTTCGTTTTCTTTTTTTGAACTAATATTAAACTTTTTTTTGTAGGTTTGCTTCGGCGACTAAGTAATGAGTAAGTAAAATTGTGAGATTTTGTTTCGACTGGTCTTGTTTACTTTCTACAAATAAAAAAAAAATACTATTTTGAACTACTATTCTAAACCTTTTTGTTGTATTTATTTAGTTTATGAATATAGTTTATGAATATAACGTTTATGGATACAAGAAGTTGTAATAGTGGTAGTGTTTAGAATCGTTTGAG